AAGGACCAAAGGTCGTGCCGAAGCAACAGATCTCAAGAGAATGACTCAGGTCATATCGGAAGCGAACGATAACGAATCATGAAACGCAACGGGCACTAACTCGTTTGGCCAACTTCTGCTATCTCCCGTCTTACGCCCCCAGGCCCACGCATGCATGCACTGCAGGCTTATCTAGCGCTCTTATTCATCAGCAGCCCTCTATCTTCCCTGGCTGCCTCCCCTGTGCCCATCTACGGCTTGTCGTCCTGCCTGCCTACACACGGCTACCATCCTTCAGCCTGTCATCCATCAGCATCAGCTCCATCCATCCATCCATCCATCCATTCATCCAGGGCTGCATCCTCTCCATCAGCACACGGTCCACGGCATCCAATCCATCCGTCCATCACATCCAGATCCACGGCATCCAATCCATCCGTCCATCACATCCAGACACATGCGTCCACACTTCCAGTCATCTGAGCCGAGCGCCTTCATCAGGGCCACAGACAGGGGCGAAGGGCATCGTGAGCACTTCGCAACAAGAGAGGACCTTGCCGGTGAGGCGCTCGAGTGCCGGGCAGACGAGCTTCTGCTGCTGGAAGAGATGCAGTCCGTCGAGACTGTCCACCTCAACCGACGTCACCGAGGGAAACACCGCATCGGGCCCCTTGACCTGCGCCACCGGCTGGCGACTCCCCTGCTCCTCAGACCCCTCTCCTTCGTCTACATTGCCATCTTCGTCCGGCTGTTGCTTGGCTTGTGTCGTCAGGATGGCCTTCAGCGTGTCGGTGTGGTTGACCAGCTGCAGGGAAATGAAGGCGAAGAGCCGCGCCCGGCCGATCTCCTCGACCTCCTCCTCTCCGGGCAGCAGGATTATGGCGTGCTGCTGCTGCTCGAACGTCACGAGGCTGCCGCCCGGTCCCCTGCAGCTGAGACCGTGGTTGGGGCGGTGCCAGTTGATGACCCGGATCAGCGAGTAGATGGCCCAGTAGAAGGCCCGGCAGACACAGCTCATCGCCAGGCGCTCCTTGACGGACTGATACGATGACACGTTGAGCCAGGTATCGCCATCCAGAAGGCTCGTGAGGCTCCTCGGCGCGGTGCGGTTGGATGAGCCATCACTCTGGGCTGGGGCGGCTGTGCGCGGGGCTTTGGCTGGCGGGCCGTCCATCGCTCACCACACACACAAGACCTTAGCTACGCTGCTACAGCTTCCTGCACGAAAGCAAACACAAACAAGCACAGGAAGATGCCATAGCGTCTGTCGTGCTGTTTGTTGCCCGGAACGCTTACAGTTCTTGCGATGAATGTATGGCTGCCGGCAGGTCTTCTTGTGAGCCCGTCGGACGGCAGGCAGCCGATGGATTGCTCGGACTTGAGGGTGCGCTACAACAGCCAAGACCTCACCGAACGCTCATACCCCGGCTCTTTTTCCCTTCTTGACTTTTGCGAGCTTGAAGCGGAAACAAACGGGAGATGTCAGAGGCTGCGTGTGTTGGGGTAGATCCCGCCGTGTAATGCCACTGCATGCTGAGAACCCTGAGCACTCCGAACTGTCCCTCCTTCTCGTGAACCGTCCCTCTGGCTCATCTGTTGCCTTAACGGGCAACGACAGCGATCCTCCACAGCCACTCTCATCTACCGACATGGGCGCAGCAAGTCGTTCTGGCTGTCGCTGCTGAGCCAAAGATCTGCCCAGATCTTCGTCACACCGTCGTCCATTCGACCTCCCTCGGTCTTCCCTCAGACCCCCACACTCGCCGCTCGACTCCCGTCGACTCCCCTCGCCTCCTGACCAAGCTCCGCCACGAGATCTACGACCACCATGAGCGACTACATCAAGCTCAGCACCAGCGATGTACCAACCTTCTCCGGAGATGAGAAGGACTACCCTGATTGGGTACGGTACTTCCGCACCATGCTGGGGTTTGAGGAATCGGCCCTACTGCGGGACACGGCGCTCGATGAGCACGTGCCTATCTCGGTGCAGCAGACGAAGTTCGAGGAGCTTCTGACGCGTGAGCAGAGATCGAGGACAATGCCATCACCGCCAAGTAGACCAAGGCAGCAAGGAGAAGGAGCGAGTCATCAAGGACAACAACAAGGGCAAGAACAACAAGTACAACAAGGGACATCGTGGTGGTGTGCGTCGTGATCGACATCGTCGGCGCGAGACACCACAAGACGACCAGCGGAATGCTGACCGACACAGACGCAATCGCTCTCTCACACCGGTACAGGGGAGAGAGGAGGAGCACACACACGTGCATGCTCTTGAAGAGAGGCAGC